TCATAAAGTTTCTTTAATTTAATTTGAAATTTTGATTTTTTTTTTTTAAATATTAGATAACTCCATAAGTTTACATGATCTACGTAATACTTTTGAGGTTTGTTAACTTGTTTGTCCACTTAATTTTTGAAAATCATACATAAAAAATGTGTTTTTACAAAATTGATGATTTCATTGTAACTGGGCAAAGACATGTAAACATAAATAAGTGGTATAACTGAGGTAAATGTATTTATTATATGGTACTAATATTTTTTGACTTCACTACCAAAGTACAACTATGTACAAACTGGTATAACTCAAAAACTAATACAACTAGAAAATTGGTACAACTACTTGTTATTTTATTTAGTATTGTTTTAAATGTGCATCACGTTTTAAATGTGTACTAGATGATACCCGTGCGCATGCGCGGGGTGAGGTTTTTTATATTAATGTTTGTTCAGTTTTAACATTTTGTAACACTATAATCTTTATTGATTGTAAAATGACGAATACAAATGTTGGTCTCGTAAATATATCATATGTCTGGGTGTTCGAGGATCTGTCGGTTTCGGTTCGATTGCTTCGCAGTTTCAAATTTTTGGTATTATGCTCATCAGTCTCATTCAGGTTTTACTAATTATCGGATCGGATTCGGGTTGATTCTTTCCGGATTCGGTTTGGATCAGATTGTAACCAAAATCTGAAATCGCCCAAAAAATAGGAGCAAAGGATATCTGAGGCCAGGTTCAACCCATACAATAATATTAATCAGAGATGATGTTTACAGCTCAACAACACAGAGCAACAACTTTCACAAGCTATCAATTGCTTCTTCTCTCACATTCCATGAAGAAGACAACAAGCTAGAGTTTATACCCTACGGAAAGGAGAGACTCTGTCGCGGTCAGAGGCTTCACTTTCCCTTTTCCTTCTTCAATTTTCACCAAGCACCGGTTTAATCTCTGCAATAAACCGCTTCAACAAACTGAGCTTAACCAATTTCTCAATTCAAACCGCTAAATGTTGTAATTATTGCTCATACAAATATAAGTTAAGTCAAGTATTAGTATATGAAATTTGTAAGTATTTTGGTTTGTATGTATCCCCGAAAAATCATCTACAAAGTTTTGTTTGTCTATATCCTATCCAACATCACGATTACTCAAATATAGATGATCCGACCGGGATAGACTGGTCACACAATCAATAATATATCTCTATGTTTTTGCTTTTATATTTTTCACTTGCTGTTCCGTAGTACTTACAAATGTCTCACGTAAATATGCCCTAACAACATCCATTCTTTTCCATTGTCTGTAAGAGCTTAGGTTTCTCACCATCTTGGCATGTACCTCACCCTTGTCAACACCACCCTGGACAGATCATGGTTTACAATCTTTATCTTTTTGATTCCTTTTACCTCGCTAACAAATTTGTTCCCGATTAGTACAGTGTCTCCCTTAAACTCATCTAGATCAAATAAGACTTCATGGTTTGGAGTAATGTGGAAGGTGCAACCAAAATCAAGAACCCATTCTTCTTTAGTGTCATGCACGCTTCCAGTTAATATCATGGGAAACTCTTTGTCTTTTGCCACCTTAGGAGAATTAGATGATCTTTGTGCTTTCTTTCTAGACAATTGCGTTAAAAATGACATTCCTTTCCACATATCCAACACACTCTCTAGACTTTAAGGCTGAAATTTTCCTCTTGATTTTGATCTGAGTCTTAACTCTCTGATTTGTTTCTTCCTTGGTTGTTGAACCTCTTCTTGGTTCTTCCTCTTGAAGCGACTAACCCCTCAGCATTAGATCTAGGACATTAACCTAATCCTTTTTCCATGAGTTTTGCTTAATTACTTTCTTGACAGTTAATGTCTTTTTTCCATTCTCACACTGAGGAGGTAGTCCAGTTAGAATCTGTATTGTTTGATACTCATCGGATATATATTATGTTCAGACTAGCTAGATTATCCACCAGATTTAGAAACGTATCAAGATTCTCTTCTATACTCTTGGTTTCTACCATTTTATAGCTTATGAAGCTTTGCTTTAGGTAGATGCGATTAGGAATAGTTTTTTTTGATAATCACCTTCTAAAGACTTCGAAACACTCATGGTTATGGTCTCCTTCATAACCTTCTCGAGACTATATTTGTCAAGCTAGAGCAAATAAGGTTTCGTGCTATTGTATCCTTCTTATTAGACATAGAATCTTTCTTAATGTCTTGATCAGTAGCAGTATCTCGGTCAATTTCCAGCTTTGAAGAACCAGCTTCAGTGCTTGAGATTTGTTCCAAACCTTGCATCTCCAGCTGCATTAACATCTTAAACTTCCACATACCAAGCACCAGATCCATCCAAATTTTCCATCTTGAACTTCCCATGAACCGATTGCATCTTGATTAGTCACAACACACAATCAATAACCACACAACACCTCAAGAAATTGAGATCAACTTTCTGAACCTCAGATGCAGTACCGTTCGAACCTTCTCTTCACCGAGAACCAGATTCTAAGGATGCAATCTAGGTTTTTTTTGTTTGATCTTAGCTTGATTAGGTTGATTGACTCGTTCTAGATCTTAGCAAGTGATATAACTACGATGAACACAAGAGAACACACACAGTTGTTAACCCATAATTCGTTTCCTGCTGTCCAGAGAGAGATCAAAGCTCTCAAACTTTCACTAGTGATCGATGTGAACAACAATGAAGATATCAAGACTAATATCATTTCTTTTTGTGCAGCTATTACAAGCGACTGCACAATGAGATGATCGGAGAAGATTACCACATTGACTACGATGGAGAAGAAGACCTCTCAGCCTCCGAACCCTCAGACGACAAGGACATGCAGTCTGAACCAAAGAAAGGAACTGGATCTCAAGAGTCTGGAACACTATTGGATCGCTCTATCTTGATCTTTGCTTTCTCCTTCATATGTACTTTTCCTCTCTCTCTCTCTCTCTACTGAAACTCGCTTTCTCTCTCTGTTATGAAGAAGAGATGATAACCGTTTGTGAATGGAACCCACTTTTGTAACAACCTTGAGATGTTAGCTCATTTACATGCCGTTTACCATTCATAAGGAATATTTATTCTCCTTTTAATTAATTCTCATGCCTTTATTGTAGAGAAATATACAATAAATTTATTTTCATTAAATTTGATAAGGAATAAATAATTTTCTATTCGTTCTATTCGTTCTTTTCTTATTTGTTCTTTGATGGGTTATACTATTTAGTTCACTAGGGGTGAAGTAAAAGATTTCTTTTGTTTTTTTGGTATATTTAATTTTATATAATTTTTGATTTTTTATTTTATTTATATAATTATATCAATTATTGGATCATAAATTAATTGTGTTAACACAAAAAATTAGATTAATGGGATAATTTAGTGTAGGCTTTATGGCAAGAGGACAATTTGTGTTTTTTTTTGTTTTATTTTTTTTTTAAAAGGTTCCCAAATAAGAATCCCCTTTTTTTTGAACAACCCCAAATAATAATCCCTAATATATTAAAAGAGAAGTATTGTAATAAATGCGTTTACACCATAATTTACACGTGTCGGCCTCTCAATCATTTGACAATAAATGCATTTACACACTAATTTTTTAAATTCATTATCTAATGTGTTTATACACTATTTTTAATTAATTCACTTTTCTTACATTTTTAGTTTTTGTATTAATAAATTAAAACTTTCTACGTGAAACTAATGAATAATATCTTTATTGTTAAAAAAAATTAAAAATTATTAAGATTCGCATCAACTAAAATGTTGCGATGAAAATATTTGTAGAAATTGAAAGTTTTGTACCTTGCCGAAGTTGGTCATTGTTGAGGCTTCGGTACACAATAACAACAAATAAGGTGATTGATTATGAATCAAAGAAGCTGAAGTGAAAAACACCACACGTAAAGTCGGATCTTTAGTTTAGTCAAATATTAACATTTTTATAAAGTTTTCATATCAGATCAAGAATTATAAACAAAATCAAATTGGTAGAAAAAAATCAGAAATCAGAAAAGCTTTAAAAGAAATAAAAATCACAAAATAGATTAAAAACAGAATTCAGGTACCAAGTGAAGATGTCACTTTATAATATATATATATATATATATATATTTATTGTTTACGGGTACAATTTGATTTTCTTCATATGAAAAGTGTTATTAATTTCTAGGTTTGTTTTATTCTTACTTAATTTTATTTAAGAATTTAATATCATTTATTATTTTGAACAAAAATGTTTTAAATCTTAACTAACTGTATATTCATATATTTATCATTACATTTATATACTTTTACATATACATACATGTACACCTTGATACGAGAGACTCTTGTATGGTGGTTGTTCTATTCTGGTCTGGTTACCCAGACCACCTCAAGGTTGAGTAATAGATTAGTCTTTTGATGCAAAAAAAAAACTAAATATTCACTACAAGTGAGAAATTTAATTCTTATTGAAGTTGATTTTTTTTTTTTAATGTTTTCTTTCACTATCCGCTCAAATTGTAGTGAAATGTTTTATGTTAATAATTTTTTTTTCTTTTTTCTTTCAAATATTATTTAGATTTTATTTGATTTTACATATCCTTAGAAATTATAATAGGAAACTATTAGTTCGACATAAAAAATATCTAAAATTTCTATAAAACGAAACTAAACAAATAACAATAGTTTTTGGTTATCATCGAAAAAACCTAAAACATCAAACATTTAAACCAAACAAACCAAAATAAATATTAAGTTAGAATAATAATTATATTTTAGGAGATTAAAAAAACAATGTAAAACTGGATCAATATTTCTGCTAAAAAATATTATTTTATCTTATAAGTAACAAAAGTATACTTAGTACAATGTAAAAGAAAACACAACTCTAAACGTTGCCGTATAGGTAAAAGTAATTTCACTATTCCCTCAACGGAGTCTCTTGAATTAGCTCAAGCGGCGGTTTCGCTGACCTCGGATTGCACTCCCTTGGACCTCTCGGACAAGAGGGTTTGAAACTTAATAGAGTTTGAAACTTAATAGAGTTTGAAACTTTATAGGGTTTTTTCACACCTATTCCTGAAAGAATAGGCATGGTCGGAGGGCAACAAGAAGAAGAAGAAGGTGCAGCAATCAAAGCTCTGGGCTCTCTCTTCAAGCTTACTCAAATCCATCTATGGTATCTCTCTCTCTCTCTCTCTTCACTCCGAGCTTTTTCTCTATCTTCTAACTCTCTCGTCTGTTTGAATACTCAGGGAAGATGGGTCGACAGATACTCGTTTGGTTCCTCTCTTCCATGAACACAGTATGTCTTTACTCTTACCCTTATTGGGTCACTTTTAGTCTCTGTAATGATTAGTGATTGGTGTTTTTTTTTTAATTGGGTAAAGAAAATAGGTCTGAAGATATGGGATTGGTACAAGAGATGAAATCTCTGGGCCTTCCTGTTGCTTTTCAGACAAATAAGGAGGTAGCTTTATCTCTATTTATATCAAAAAGTTCTTGTTTTTGTTTGTTTGTTTGTTTGTTTTACATGCTGAATAATTGCAACAATGTCATTCAGTGGAAGAACAGAACAAGGTCTATCCACCAAAAGAATAGAACCAAGGATCGATCAGACCAGGTTAATGTTGATATTGCATCCCCTCTGAGTTTGGTGTTGTCTGATCATGCTGTTGGTGGTGAAGAGGAGGTTGGTGGACCCTACGATTGTGTTCAAAGAACTATAGTAGAAGAAAACGATGAGGTTGTTTGCTTAGGAGATGGAGATAGAGATTCTTTGTTGATATCATCAGAGGCAACATATTCTCAGAGCTCTAGTGAATGGAATGTTTACTGGGATTCTTTCTATGAACGAAATTATTTTTATAACGTTATGACGCAAGAATCTACATGGCAGCCACCTCTTGGGATGGAGCATCTAGCTTGTAGCTATGATACCCATAACTTGAACGACTTGGCTGTTGAGGTGAATGAGAAGGAGGCCTACCTTTTTCTTTGTGAAATTTCAGAATATTTTGTTTATTTACTGTTTTTCTTTTTTGGGATAAAAGGCAACAGAGAAGCAGCCTGATGACTTGCTTGGAACTGTACCTGTGAATGATGTTCCCCCTCAACACTCTGATGATCTTGGTGGGGTTTGTCAAAGTCAATGTGAAACAAAAACCCTAGAGGAAGTTAGCAGGTTTTACAACTCAACATAATGTGGTCTTTTTTTTAGTCTTAGACATTGATCACCAATTGGTATGTCTGACTCTTACTGAGTGTACTAGCATCGATATGCAAGAAGAGTTGTTTTGTTACAACTTTAGTTGAAGGGGGGGTTGTTGTGTCTCTTTAGCAGCAGCCTTCTAACATTTTAATTGTTTCCAGTTTGATTGATACGTACCAAGAAACTCCCGTTGGGAATCAATCTCTGGAAGAAGAGGGAAAAGGTTCAGCTGTTGTAAAATCAATTAAGAAGGCTAAAAAGAAGACAAGAAGAAGTCGAGCCAAGAAGATATTTCCTTGTTCGCCGAACACAGGTTTGCATACATACAGCTCTGAAACGTTATACCTTTATCTGGTCGATTGTGAAAAATCTTAGATTCTTCTGTGAGCAGGCGAATATTCTGATGTCCTTGGTAAGTATTGGTGCCAACGATATCTCCTCTTCTCCAGATTTGATGAAGGCATCAAAATGGATGAGGAAGGATGGTTTTCTGTCACTCCTGAAGCTATAGCTAAGCATCATTCCACACGCTGTAACGGAGGCATAGTCATTGACTGCTTTACAGGAGTTGGTGGAAATGCTATTCAGTTCGCTTCAAGGTAATTTACTTGATATACACCTTTTTTAACGAATTTAACTAAGATTTATCTCTCATCTGTTGTGCCACTTTAGGAGTCATTATGTGATTGCAATTGATCTGGATCCAAAGAAACTTGATTTAGCAAAGCATAATGCTGCCATATATGGTGTTGCTGATAAAATCGACTTTGTGAAGGGAGACTTCTTTGACTTGGCTCATAACTTGAAGGTCTCTTTCTTCAACTCTTCTCATTTTTCTTTTGGTTTTAAAAGGTTTTTCTTGGACTTGGCTCGTAACTTTGTACATTGTGCAGGCAGGCACTGTGTTCTTATCGCCTCCATGGGGAGGCCCTGATTATCTTAGAACGAGTACGTATGACATGAAGACAATGTTGAGACCTCGTGATGCGTATGTCTCTTTGATTATATGCTATGTTTCTGATAGTTTTTGAATTGTTATATTTCTTATCCTCACTGTTCCGTTAATGATGTAGAGAGGCTCTATTTACGGCGGCCATGAACATCGCATCGACAGTCATTATGTTTCTTCCTAGAAATGTTGATATTAACCAATTGGCAGAACTAGCCTTATCAACGTCTCCTCCATGGTCACTTGAGGCAAGTGTTTTTTTCTTATGGCTTTTTCAGCATTCTGTTTTTGTTTTTAAAAAGGCTTTCCAAATTGTTTCTGAGAATGACTTTCCGTCTTATGAATGTTTATTATTATTATTATTTTTTTTTGCTAAATTTGTCTCCTTGTTACATTGAACAAGAATATTTTTTTTGGTATTATATATATATATATATATATATATATATATTTTTGAAACACTTTTTTTGGTATATAGAGTATTTCGGACCTTAGTAACATGTCTAACGGGCAAGCTCCAATGTTTTCAGGTAGAAAAGAACTACTTAAATGGGAAGCTGAAGGCAATAACAGCATACTTCTTCAGACAAGATGGTTGTTAGAACTAAGAATAAAGCATAGATTCGTCTCACCCACTCAATGCACGAACGCGACATGTATCCGCATTTGTGTCAGCTTGTGGAAATCAACTGAATGAATTGATTTGAGATCATAGGTTTCATGTGTTGTATATATAAAATGTGTTTTGTAAACTTTGTGTTATTGATTACTCAGCTTCTTGTCACACATTTCTTCAAACTGTAAACTTGTGAATGAAACTTGTGCAAGAAAAATCTATTATTATTGTCCAGAACGTCTTCTGACCTAGAGCGGACAGATGTGGATGTATCGGGTAATATACATCACTTGGTCTTGGGTATTTTATCTAACCAGAAACATACCTAGGGATGGCAATCTGAACCGTGGCCCGCGGCTGGCCTCATAAAAGACCCATATGGGACAGGTTTGGGCCAGCAAATTATAGACCCAATATTTAGCGGGCCTCACGGGTAATGATGTTGGGGGATTGGGTCGTTGCGGTTCGGACCACTGCGGTCACGCGGGTTAGAGAGGACCGCTTTGAACATGTCGGCACCTGAAAAAACAAGAGATTGTGAGTAGGGATGGCAATCTGAACCGCGGCCCGCAGGCTGGTCTCATAAAAGGCCCATATGGGGCGGGTTTGGGCCAGCAAATTATAGACCCAATATTTAGCGGGCCTCGCGGGTAATGATGCTGCGGGATTGGGCCGTTGCGGTTCGGGCCACTGCGGTCACGCGGGTTAGAGAGGACCGCTTTGAACATGTCGGCACCTGAAAAAACATAAAAGAGATTGTGAGAGAACTCGAGAAGGCAATATCACCGAGGTCCCTCTTCGAGCTCCGAAGGTCCCTCTGGCTTCCCTCTTCGAGCTCCGACGACGTTGGCTCGAGCTCTGAAGGTCCCTCCGGCATCCCTTTCAAGCTCATACAATCACCAGAGGAGCACAAGAAGAGCATCGACCTTGCCCTCTGTAGTTTCGTCTTCTCCTCGACTAAGCCCCCACCGGAGCTTCTTTCCGTTCTCGATCTAGCACCAACGCGTCTCTTCGTCCTTGATCTACCACCATCGACTCTCTTCTTCGCCGATCTACTTCCTCGAGGATAAGAAACACGATGCTTCCAAGAAGAAAGTTACATACACTTCGGTTCTCAATGCTAGAAGCAAGGTAGTTTCTATTGTTTATCTCTTGTGATTTAACCTTGAAAATATAACTCGATTTTGTCCTTATTGGTTGAATCTTTGACACTACTTAGGCTGCTTCCAAGACTCTTGATATTGACTCTATCGACAAATAAAATGACCTTGCTGCTGTTGTTTTGTTTCGTTCTCTGTTGCAGAACGCAGGCTTGCCTTAGATGTATATATAAACACAGTCTGAGATCAACGAGAAGATGAGATCAATTCTTGTTGACTAGCTTGTAGACGTTCATGTCAAGTTTGATCTGTCCCCTGAGACGCTTTCCCTTGAAACGATGTATGTCTTGGTGGATCAAAATCTTGTTTATTTAAATTTATTCCTGTCATGTTTTGACTCTGATGCTTTTTTAGACAAGGAGATGTTACTTGAGTTTGTGGAGAAGATTAAGACAACAAAGGAGACTGGTCAAAAAGCTGAAGCAATGAGAAGATGTTAATGAACTCGCTGACCATGTAAGTGAACTAATATCCTGTCTTTATACTTGTGTTGTACATCATTGTTGATCCCTGTTGTTACAGGCGGCCTCTGCTTTTGAGACAGTGAGGGACATAAACACAGCGATGATGGTGAAGCCAGCATAGCGATGCAGTGGAACATTCTCCACAGGTTCAGGTTCTACTCGTTAGTTTAGTCTTATGTAGTAGAAAATTGAATATGCTAGGTTATCGGATTTGTAGTCTTGTAGTTGTAGATATATTGCTTGATGTTAGTTTACTTGCTTTGCTTTTGAGTTTTGATTTACGTATAGACTGTAACAGTTAAGAGTTATAACTTTACTTATAAAATATTATAAAACTTGACCAATAAAGAATAAGGAGATAATTCAAATATTTTGAAATTAACATAAAAAAATACAAAAATACCCTAACAAGTAACAACTAAACCTAAACTCACAACTTACGACTTATTTCGTGAGGTAAACTAAAAACAAACAAAGAAACTTGAGAAAAGAAGCGGCGATGGATCCCAATTGCAAGCTATTGGATACCTGTGACTTAGAGACCTCTGATCCTAATTTCACGCCATTGAATACCTGTGACCTTGAGACTCAAGGACTGCTGGCATCTCTTGGTGCTACTGCTGATGCTGCTGATGATGATGAGGCTGAGGATCTCTGTTCTGGTGGAAAGAAGCAAGAGCGGAAACGGAGGCTGATAGAAGTTGGTTCTGATGATGATGAAGTCGAAATCACCGCTCCTCCAACTCAATCCTCCCAGCCTCGCAAGCAATTTAGTTTCGGATTAGGGAGTATCTCAAAGAAATCCATGACTAAATCATCAATATCCGGTGGATTTTCAACCTCTTCAAAGGCTACCCAAAGCAAGAAAAAGCCGAGTGTTGCTATAATACGTGGAGGAAGAAGGTCTTCAAAGCCGACTCCAAATAATGGAAAGAAGAAAACTTTGGAGTCTAAGCAGCCAGTGGCTGGTGAGGAATCTGAGGATATTAACGTGGGTGATGATTCTGATGAACCCAATTTGGATGACAATAAGAGGGAGAGTAGGCAAAGGTCTAAGGTTTATGTTGGGCCCAAATACGGCCCGTTAGCTGAAATTAACAGGCTTAAATAACAAGAATTGACAATGGGTTATTATAAGCCCATTAGCAATTAAGTCTTGAGAAAGGAGTTAAGAAGAAGCCGGAGGCTATTTTGCTCAGGAAAGAAAGGTTAACAAAACAGGTCACGGAAGAGAACTCCGGACCTCATTCACAGAGAGCTAGTAGAAGTAGCTCATGATGGATACGCAGGACCCGGTCAAAAGGAGACTGTAGAGAATCCCTCAACTCACGGAGCAAATCTCGGAGGTTAGCTGAGGTCGTTGAAACATGATCGAGAGCTATAAAAGAGGAGGAAGAGATCAAAGCAAGGTCCAGATTTTGATTCATTATTATTCACATATTCAAGAACCCTAGAAACATCCTTTATTCTTTGTCATCACAGAACCCTAGAAACATCCTTTATTCTTTGTAATCACAGATCGAAACATTTGTAAACGTCTTTTACCAAAAACATCAATACAATCATATTCATTCCTTAAGTTCTAACAGGATTCAGCCCACAATTATCTTTTCTCCAATCTAAACCTAATCTAAATTAGGAAGTGAGTTTTATCCCTCACATTTTGGCACCGTCTGTGGGGACGAGATAATTGAATCATTTACTCCGTAACTTGATAATGGATCCATCTAACCAGGTAACGAATCCATCTATCCATGATCCCGTGATCCAGATCGACGGCTCACCGAACAGAAGAAACCTGGATCCTCAAGACCCGGAGCCTCAATCCGCCGATCACCGATCTGAGCAACAGCCTCTGGCTAATGCTCAACCGAACAAGACCACCACTGGAATAAGTAACCCGAGATCCTCCAGTGGAAACAACTCTGGGGTTACAGCCCCCGAGAACCCTCAGCGTCAATCCGCTCTGAACCAATCGGAGGCTCAGCTTTCCGAGATGCGCCGAATGATGGTGCAATTGGTAGATAGAGCTCAGGAGAATGAGCGTACGTTGCAGCAGCTAACTACTCGGCAGCAACGATTCGAAGAGGTAACTAGATCTCTAACCGAGACGACTCAGATATTGCAACGTCAGGGCTCGGGAGCCACTTTCCGAGATCGATTGACCGAACCCACGTTCCCTCGCGGACGTCTGGATTTTTCCCCTAACAGCACTGCTCAAGATAGGCAAGAATCTGTTCTCCGGACACCTCATGCTGGAATAACCTGTGCATTCAGTCCACCCGTAACCAGCGCTATGGGAAGTAACATAGCAACAACAAGCTCTGCGCCCAACCGGGTTACTGAACAGAGCACACATTTACCACCTCCGCCACTTGTTTTCAGGTCCGGAGAAGGAATATCTTTCCCTCCTAGGGGAAGAGCATCAGCTCCGACTTATCAAGCCGGGAGGGCGATCCCGAATCGAGATGGCCTCCAGAGAACGGAAGCTGATCCTACAGCTCACCCTACTGGTCGCATCCCTCAAAACAACCCTAGAGCTAGTGAGCGATTTAGCCCACCAAATGCCTGGGAGAACGACCAAACTCGACTTCATCATGAATCTCCCCATCAGATTCATGATGACGACCCAACTATCCTTCCTCTAGAGGGACCCGAGGCTATCCGCCGATATATGGAGCAAACTCACGCAACTCTCCAAAAGTTAAATGCTCAAGTCCACAAAGCAAAGAGCTCAGCTCCCGAAATTGAGAGCTTGATTGAGGAAACCCGCGGGACCCCATTCACAGACAGAATCGCTAGCTCTTACATAAGAGATACCCAAAAAATTAGGATCCCCGAATATGATGGGACCTCAGATCCTAAGGCTCATTTGAGAGCCTTCCGATTAGCTATCGTGAAAGCTCACTTCACGAGAGAAGAATGCGAGGCATGTTACTGCAGAACCTTTGCCGAAAACTTGGTCGGAACAGCTCTCGAATGGTTTTCGAGCCTGAGCCGAACTCAATAAACAATTTCGACCAGCTCACTAACGCCTTTATGAAGCAGTACTCGATCCATATCCTACAGCAAGCTTCCGAGGCCGACCTCTGGAAAATTAGACAAGGAATGGGAGACTCATTACGAGTCTATATCGAAAAATTCAGAGCAGTGAGAACTAAGCTCTCGAATCCCAACGATCAAGTTGCCATCGAAGCCCTTAGAAGAGGCCTCTGGTACAAATCGGAATTCTGGTCCGAGCTAACGCTCAATTCTCCCCCAATTATCGATGATGCCCTTCACAAAGCATCTAGATATATTACCTTGGAGGAGGAAACAGCTGCACTAGATAAAATCTATAAGAAATCTCAAAATCACCCGAAAGGTGAAACCACAAAAGCAAAAGGATCTTCTAGAAAAGGGGGCTCCCGCAATAATCAGACCCAGGGAGAACATTCTTATGCAGTCGAGGAAGTCCAACAGGAAAAACCTGTTGCCGCGGCAAGCAAAACCCCCTGGTCAAAGGGCTACGATGAGAACAAACACTGCTTTTATAACGATCGAAAAGGACACTCAACTGAGGAATGTTGGGACCTCCAACGACAGTTGGCAGCTAAATTCGTA